GCTCTTTTAATGAATGGGCGTCGGTGGCACAGTGGTTAGGACTCTCGCCGACCATGCACATGGTCCGAGGTTCGATCCCCTGCCGACGCACACCCGATATCTATGGTCGGCCTGCAAAATTTGGGCTACCGATATCCATGCTGAAAATGCCATACTTGTACTGAAAATACGGTGTGGCATCAAGCTGTAATCAAAATAAAAAATAAAAATCTTGTGACACTAGCTTAGGTATTATCCTAAGTTTCCACACTTCAACAGCTTTCTCAGAACATTGTGAAATCGCTATAATAACACTTTATACCCTAAACAGACAGTATTATATGCCGAAAGCAAGCTAATTAATGAAGCTCTAAAGTCTGCTTATATAAGATGGCTGTGTCAAGTGTAACCTAAACTAATGTTGTTAAGAATAAATGGTTAGGTTGAAAAACTGTGATGCAAATGAACGACCTAATCAACCAACGTTTGCATAGGTAGTTGTAATGAATGGATAAATCAAACTTTATCGAACGAACACTATTCAAGATTAAGGGTGGAAATATCATTCTTTAGTTCCTAGAGGAACATGGGGCATCAGCTGCACGTCTACATTGCGTTTGATCCTTCACCAACGTTTTCATCTGGTTCCACGTCTGCTCACAGGCTTTCATCTCCTCTTCACATGACCTCCTCCATGTCACCCTCGGACGACCAACTCACCGCTTCCCATTTGGTTTCCACTCTAGAGCCTGGCATGTGATGTCGCTTGATGGCTTTCTCAGAGTATGGCTAATCCACATCCATTTCTTCTTGCATATTTGTTGCCTGAAATTAAACCTCATCTCTATTCTGATCATAACCCTAACCCTGTATCTTGATCATAAAAGGGAGTCATTTACCGACACTATAATGCGAAATTGGGAGTTATTTGGGCAAAAATTAAAATAGGAGAAACAGTTTAAAGTTATTACTCTCCTTTAAATATTGTTTTCTCCTGAAAATACCTTTTTTTAATCTAACTTTGCCTGGTCCATTAGCGAAGTCATTGAGTCAGTGGTTCGCCTGGATCACTTCCCTTTAACTTCATCCATACTTTAATTCCATAGAAATCTCTGAGATTCCACTGAGTATATTTATCCACATTTCCCCTTTGGCCTTTTGTGACTCCTGGCCTTAGTGATTTCGCTACTTCATCGTCAATTCGATCAACTTCCGTGTCATTATATAATAAAGTGTGACACTTCATAACAGTGTCTAGCTACTTAAAGCTGATGTTTGACATCAACCAGAGAAATATCGGCAATTAATAAACATTGTGTTCACATCTTTCATCTCAGTGTAGTGCTGTTCTCCTTTTAGAATACCAGTCAAATTTGAATCTATCCGGTATAAGGATGAGTTTAAATATTGTCGATTCTTGTCACAAAATGACTGATAGACAGTTAGGCCAGGTGATATGCTGTTTACCCCTCTGTGTGTGTGTGTGTTTCTGCCCAATTGCGTTATAACTGTGACAATAAGAGTTTTGGGTTCATAATTACTATAATTTTCAGCACACAACAATGCACAACTGACCACTGAAATACTATTCCCATGCTGAGAAAGAAACAGAAAACTAAATGTGAAAGTAAAGGTTCATTTTTGCACGAAAATGCCCTTGTCACTAGAAATTAAAACTAGTCATTTGCTTAATTTCCAAATGTCCAATAAACCACTAGTTCAAGACATGTATATATATTTTGACTGGTACTGGGATATCAAAATACCCTATCACCTTACACACAAATGTCCGGTTCGCAGATTCCGTAGGAAAACACCGTCTAATTATATGTATCTTCCTGACCTAACACTAATCAACTATTGATGACGGCTCGCCATTTCTGGATGCTTTTTTGTTCTTCGTGGAGCAGATGTGGTTTGTGATGACTGCTTTTCAAATCCGAAAATTTTCATCGATCTTCATCTGGTGACACTTATATTTGTCTACTTTAGTACTTGCTTTTCTGAAGTCTAGCGACTTGAAACGATGTACTTCTGTGAAGGATTATGCTTTGTAACAAGTGAGTTTAATGTGGACCGTTGCAGAGAAGTGTAGTAGTTCAACTTGCTACACTACATGTAGTATGCTAAGGTAAGGAAAATTCCAGAGAACCCAAATGAACAGAAATGTACGGGTAAAGGAATAAACACATAGAGAATAATGAAAATTTGATGGATCTAGGAGTTCGTGTAGAGTGCATACACATTCGCCATTTTAGAACTGTTTTGACCCTTGTTTCTGCGGGTATCCAGTGATTAGTTCATAGCATATCGAGGACTGTAGACAGTCGGTCTATATCTCCTTACGTGGCTCTCAGCAACACTCAAAGAATTAATGAACTGATGGCAGGTTTGGGTTTGACCATCCTTAATTCTTTTCCAACCTTATCCTATGTCAGCTTAACAATGCTTGATGAGGAAGGTGATGCTTTGGTATGTATAACACCTGTCCTAGCCATCTTAATCAATGTAGCTTCACAACCTCGGAATGCACGTAAAATAATCATAAACTGAAACATTTTCAAATAATTTTGGAATAACTTGTGAAGTTTTTTCATATTTTATAGCGTGACTAAAACCTTTATTCACATCATGGAAAAAACTGAAAAATTAACGAAATAAGAAAAAAAGCCCATTACTTTAGAGAAAACACAACTGTCTGTTACACATAAGTAATTTTTAATAGTATCTTTCAGCTGAATATAACGTAATACGGTGAAAATGTAATCAGTGGACTGGGTGAATTTTTATTGGACATAGATGGACGTTGTGTCTGCAGGCAGTCATCTTCAACAAGGTGTGTATGTGCGTATATATCCACAGAGCTGAAGAAGTTTAATTCATATTCTCTGTAACATTCTAACGCTTAAATAAGATAGACAGTATCAGATTGGTCTCAGGTTGGAGGTACGCCTTGCTACTAGCTACTGGTTGAAAGTGAACGCCCCACCAACCCCTAACATAATTTTAGTGAAACACAATGAAGTGTATCGAAATGCCATCCCACTTAGTTCATACCGCTTCATTTCACACGTGATTGATAAATCTTACTTAGTGGATGATAAATTAATGTAATTTCTTTGTTTTTAATCATACAAAATGAAACGATGTGATAATATCCAATGTACTATAACGAAGAAAATCGATCGCTTTTCGAAGTATGAACACTAGTCACTAAGTTAAATAACTTATATCGGGCATTGTTGTCAGTTATAGTTTCACAAACTTGATTGGTGCATTTTCCGGTTTTTCCCTCTGACTAACTCAATTTTACACTATGTAAATACCAATGAGTATAGTGAAACCAGCAATCTGTATATCAGTCCAGACTAGCTTTTAATTCTTCAGTAGAAACAGAGCATTTATACTTCTACAATTGAGCATATAAAGGACTGCTTACCCACCTACCTATTTAACTATCCACCTATCCACTTATGCGCCTACCTAACTATCTACCTACCCTTTACAGTTGTGAATATGAAAACAACACATGATTTTTCAGTTGGCAAATATTTATTTTCAACGACTTCATTTTCGAGTTGTAGTCATTTGTATTTATATTACGGAGAAAGGGCACTAAGTAGCACTAAAAATTGCTCAGTAGTCAATATGCAGATGACATCAATAAAGATGATTAATCTGGGTTTTAAACGAGGTAAATTCACATAGAGATGGACATAAGAGGTAGTTTATCCTTCACACCTTGTCAAGTCATAATTCGACTACAGGAAAGTAGGCGAAAGTTAGCGGCGTCTACTCTTTCACATAATCCTGTGGAGCTAATTACATTGGACTTTGTGAGCGTATTCTATAGAAACGCGTAAATGAACACTAACATGTTTGTTTGATGAAAATTGTACAGAGGATGATGAAGTCTTCCATAAGTGAATATCTTCTTGAGCCAAGTCATTGAGCTCCTCGAGATTCATCCTATAAAGTTCTCTTTCGGGTCTAAGACTTAACTCCTAGACTGAGTGCGAAGAAATATACCATTGTAGAAGAAAGATTGATGTCAGTTAGGGATGTGTAATATCCTTGAGTCAACCCACTTCATTTCACAAATTAATCACCTTATTCATATTTTACACATTCTTGAATCGTTTTTGTGGATTTTATATCCCCAAACAAGGTTGGCTACATTTATTATTAGATGATTATTCCTGTGAGGACTGCAGCAACACATTTCCATTCCACCCACTTATCTGCTGTCATTTTTATCTGACTCCATAATTACCTACAAGGTTTTGTTTCCTTCCAATACTATCTGTTTTATCTCACACTCGAACCCACACCCAACTAGTCGCTTCCCATTCGGGTTCCACTCGAAAGTCACTACAGAATGATGTCACTAAGCTGTCTCTTCAGAATATATCTAGTAAATCTCCAGGTTCAAATCCCAGTGGGATCATCGGTGCAGATAAGCACAATACCTAGGTGTAGGGCTTCCCCCTAATTGCCTGCAACTATCTGGTATAGTACTAAATGAAGTACAATCATTCAGCTGATATAAGTAAGAGTATGATAACTTGGATTAGAACTTTTAAACATGTTTAGCTATTCTGTCTTCATGAAGATCAGTTGCTCAGATAATAGTCTTTTGAGATACCTTATAAAGGTCTTTTTTGAAGAAGCTTTTAGATTCTTTTAAAATTGTTCAATTTTCTTTATACTTGTTTTTTCTCTCATTCTTCCATCTATTTACTCCAAGATTAATGCATAAAATCCGAAAAAAGAGCCGAGCAACCTGTGCATTACTGAAATCTTCATCTCAGTTCACCATTATTTCCTTCTCCTGAAACCAATGATTTCTCGAATGGTAGTTTTATTCTTCGAAATAGTTGAAAGACAATATTTACGATGAATTGTTCAGAAACATCAAAACAAAGCAAATTCACATAAAAAAATTTTCCACTTCATTTAATTTTTACAAAAAAAGACAAGGATAAGAAGGCAGTCATTAGTGAATTTAACAAAAGAAAAGAATGGTTAGTTGTCTTATTTTAACATTGATTTCTCTTCCTTTTTGAATTTATTGATATATATATATATATATTCGATCTAATCTAATGCTATTCTAGACCGGTTTAAATAATCCGGAAAAGCTTATTGGTTGAATTTGCATTAAAAGACAAGGCTGTTAACTGATCAGATAATGGTGATCATCGTGACGAGTCTAGAAACGACTTTCAGATAGCTGATATCTGTACAACTTCTCCTCTTTCTGAAGATCAATATTATAGAGCTATTTAACAAGGGTGATTTGTTCCATATAAGATACAACCATTTGATTTTAGAACGCAGTGAGTGATACTGGATATTGGATAACCTGCTTTATACAGCCCTAATGCATGCTGAGACATAGAGCAAGTCCGAAGGTTATGTAAATACGTTGATATGGTTATCAGCAGTAAACTGTGCTTAAAATGTCATTTTCTAAATATCTGCGATAGGTGTTGCTCCATTTCGACTGCACGTGTTTAGTTCTGATTCGGTGAACAGTGAGAATTACCTGTACTAGATAGCGAAATTGAGTGAGGAGTATAGAGAATCATAACATTCTGGAAAGCAGTCAGATTCTTAATCATTCCACCTAAAATTGGCAAAGTTATGTTTGGTTAAATCTCTATTTAATCAAGCCGGGAGCCTAAGCTGCGAGTCAAAAGATTTAAATAATCAGAATCAAACAAATAAGGACAACACTACTAGTAAATAACTACCAACTGGATTTCGTTCAAGAATGTATGAATACCCGTAATAAAAATAAGAATACTAATGTAAAAAGGAAAACTGATAAGGAATTTATTATTAGTACGCCATGTAAATAAGGTATATCGAAAACCTTGTGTAGGATTCTTAATACGGCTGGATGGAATTAGGGTGGCGTATAAATCAACCAGTTTACTCTGAGAGGAACTTTGTCAGCTTAAGAATCCGACATATCCAATTAGGAAAAGTAATGTAATTGATCAAATAACGTGTAATGACTGTGAGGTCAACTGCATAGATCATACTACCAAATCATAGTCAGTTAGATTATCGGAACATAGGAATTTGGCCAGATATGAAATGATTGGCCTCGTTAAGATGATTGGTAATCTGAAAAAATAACATCTACCATTACAATGCATTCACTTCTATGTACTGGTAAAATAGCAGGGGTGTGTTCTGGTAAAAGTAATAAAAAGAAATATACCTAGGTGAAGAGAGAGATTGATCGACAAATCTTTGCTCATCAGATCAACACTAAAAATCACGTGAGATCAAAATGATACATTATCTCTCCCAAATATATGGAAAATAGTAATAAAAGGTAGGAAGGAGTAAAGCAACATAAAGCAACTTATGAACATTGTGTGAATACATTGGTAATATGATAATGAGCAATAACTTTTACTCGAAACATCATTCACTTAATACCACTGTATTAATCACGGTGTATAATAATCAAATGAATTTATCTAATATAGAAGTGAATTGTACCAAAGTGCCTAAATTCTACTCTTGCATATTAAGGATAAATTATTCCATAACAGATATTGGAATAACTTTTGTATGTTGAGTTCCAATTACTAAAATAGTGATGAATCACGAAATGATTGATGAAAAACATCCTTAATGTGTTCAGTGGGAGAACGGTCACTCAGTGGGAGTGCTCGTGTATCTAGCTGACGATTCGCAAGTAGAACGAGACGCTCTTGTTGGGAATTATCGGATAATCCCTACTAGGAGCCAACATGTCAACAGGGACTGAAGTCCAATGAAGCCGAACAATGAATAATCAGGAAAGGTTAATTTCAAAAAGATTTTGAATAAAGCAAGAATAACAGTTTGTACAGAATAATTAAATGGTACCATCATTTATTTCGTTGACTTCTCATCAACTCAGCTGCTTACATCCCAAAGACATTAAGTTTATGTACAGAAACAATTTTAACATACTAACACAGATAGTTAATTTTTAAACAAAGAATCAATGTATGCATACAATGGTAATAAATAATAATCACCTTATCCCAAACAGTAATAATCCTACAGAATGGAATTTTCGATATTACGCTATCAAATGAAAGAGAGTATGAAAACATTGGGTTACCAGGGCAACATATTCAGAATAGACAGTTTCCTTTTAATTAGTCAACCTTCAACTCTTAATTTAATGCTGAGTTGAAAACTTTTTATGCAGATGTCAGCTGTGTAGCGATGCTATTAGATTCAACGGAAATGAAGAAAAATTGTGCATTGGTGGTTCAGTATTGGATCACTCACCAGCCACTCACGTGGCCTGAGTTCGATTCCCGTCCGTTGCAATTTCCAATCTGGTCTAGCTTACTAGCCAATAGTGATGCTGAAAGAGGAGGGGAGATTAAATGTGAGGCTAGCAACCATATCTCGTATAAAACAACACCGCTACTGAAACTTCAAAAAAGCTTGAAGCCCCTTATTTTCCATTTGGAACCCGAAGGAATGAAATTAGAAAAAGAATAAAACGAAAGCTACTGACTTAGATATGACTGAAATGTGATTAAATTTGAAGCAAAAAGTGTCTAGGATTTCCTTAACTTCTTTTATACTTCAAGTGATTGTTTTTAATTTCTTGCGTTTCATTTGGAAAATGGGGCTACAAGCTTTTTTGAAGTCTCAGTAGCAGTGACATTTTTTTGGCGGCGTGGTGTTGCTAGCCTGATATCTAATCCCCTCTCTTTTCTGGCCCTACTGTTGGCTAGGGAACTCAGGAGTGGGTTGGTTAGAAGTGTGTCTTCAGGATTCAAACCCGAACTATGTGCAGTGTTTGCAAGCATTCTACCACTTAGCCACCAACACACAATTCAAGTAATACTACTGACTAAAATAGCTTGTTAGTATCTTCTGCAAAAGTCATTTTCCATCTGTAAATTGCTTATTTTGACTACCTTGAAAAAAAATTTACCCTGCTTTTCAAAACATATAATGTTTCCGATCATCGATATTGTGCTAAAAATAACTGTGTCACTATCATCTATGCTACAATGTATTTTCTTTTTAAGTTTATTTGTTAGTTTAACAACTGGCACTTTTGTCGTAGGGGTTGTACGTGTGTGTACTTACATGTGCACGGTAATATCCAGTTCATTAACCTTTTCCTATTTTGCCTAATATTGTTTTATGTTATCACGTATTTACATGTTAATAACACTTCGATGTAGTGTCAAATGTACAACAGGCGGGGTAGCGCAATGTTATTGTTTTTTAACTGGAAAAGCGACACAGTTTTGTTAAACAAAAGTGCTACACTAAGAGATTTTCTTTCTAACTCTTAAAAATTATAACAAATATATCCGTTTTCTGTGGACTAAAATTAAACTCGAACTGCTGCAAGCTGCAAAAACCAGTGTTAATTCACTTTTTTTTAAAGTATTCTCACATGTTGGTTTCCATGGATTTGATTGACTTAAACTAAGACCTCACCCCCGACTGATACCAAATGGATCAGCATTGAAAAACAGAAAGTATTGTTTTGCGGCAGTTTGAGACTGTTTATCAATAATGCTAAATAGGACATATAGTGCTACTGTTAACCAATATCACCATCGAGTATTTGTCCTCATGAGCGAAAAGGTTGACAGCGCAGGTCACTTCCTACCAGAGCTAGCTCAAATAATTTCATCCTGTAGCAAGTCACAAATGAACAGTGGACTGAGTATCAGGTGTTGCTGCTTTATTTTTTAACGATATTCTATCTGATTCCAAAAAGTTATAAAAAGTAAATCGAAGTCACCCAATCGAACTTATCAAGTGGACCGCCAAACTTTAAGTCATTTCCTTTTGTTTATTAGAAATTGAAAGTAGTCCAAAAATAGAGGTATTCTTATTTCTTAATGCGGACAGTTTTTCACACTTTTCTGTTCCAAGTGGAACATGGGGTTTGAGGATTTCGAAGTTTCAGTAGTATGTTGTTTTTTGCGAAGTGAGATGGCTAGCCTTACGTCTTTTAGGGCGACACTATTGACTAGCTAACTATGAGAAGTTTAGGAGTTCGTTGGCTGTGAATCGAACCCTGACCACATCCGTATTTGACAAGCATTCGACCACTAAACTATGGATAGCGCCGGAAAATGCTGTATACTTAAGTCATTCAACTACTGATAACCACCAGCGAAACTTGTCCATAGTTCTTCACCGAAAAAATGAATATGCATAATTGAAATAATTCCTTTTATTGATTTTATGCATACCGAATAACAAATGAACTGAACACGTGTTGTTCTTCTACTAAACTCTATTCTTCATTATCTGAGATTAGTTGTTTATTAATTTTGTTTGTTTGTGTCTAATTTTCAGCTGAACACAGATTGGACAGAGGTTGAAGTGATTGAGTTATTTGTCGATAGTGCAACACATCTTGGATTTGGCATGTGTGGTAGCAAAAGTACTGGTGTCATTGTCAGGTATATTACACCAGGGGGAGCAGCGGAATTGGTAAGTTGAGAAGGAGATCCTGAAACACTGAAACGTACATTTTCATAGCTGTTGGAAATAGTTATTAGTAGATCGTTACCTTGTTTACAGTGTTTTAAATCTGTTCTTATGTTTAGTTGGCTGGAACTCACCTGCCCTGAATAGAATCAGGCTATAAGTCACATTTAATATCTTCCGGGAAGGGATTGAGGCTAATAATACTTTTGAGCTGCCTAGGTGGGATTCGAAACGAGGACCCAGTATGTGACAGTCCAGTGTCGAAACTAATTAGCCACATTTCGACTTTTACTGATAATACTTATACTGAGAAGTTCATTTTGCTAAATAAGCATTTCAGTACAGGAGTCACGCAGAGCAGTAAGCTAGTAATCCATATGTCTCTGACACGAGTCACATTATGACCTCAATCTCCAGTTAATATCAATTGGCCAATCAAACACCATCTCAAACTGTCTCACGAGTGAAAAGTAAAAAATTTGAAATTTATGCCTTCCATAAATCGAAATGGGTTCAGCGGCTTGCAGCACATGCCAACAAAGGCGTTTCTGAACTTTCATCAGCTGCTACCTTTACTGTCTCGATAGTAAAGATCAGATGGTCAATCAGAAAGTGTAAATAGTCAACTCACCAATCAAAAGTATATTGCCATACAAATATTCAGAAGTAAATAGAAGTACACTGGACACATACTGAGAAGATCTCTGAGTGACACCACACTCTAGGCACTTGAATGGAAAATGATGAACTGGGTGTCACTTCGAGTTTGACACCGATAAGACTGTGCTAGAAGAAAATGAAAGCTTATGGGTAACCGAGGTGATAATAAATACTGAAGGGAACAGGGTGAAATGGCGTTGTGCAGCAAAAGTCTTATGTTCCACTCGGAATCCAAGGGAATAATAATAATACATAAATCGCTTATTTTAGTTAAAATAGTTAAGTATATTTGTCCTTTCCCTGTCTGACTCACTGAATTAATATTGACGCGAACTATCGAGTTGAGAGACTTTATTTTGAATAAAATTAACAACAAAATGAATTTCAGGGAAGTTATAACACATAGAGAACTTCAGTATCTAAATTCATTCCTTTGAGAAAACAAATAGACAAGCGAACAATATTCTTTTCGTAAATTCTTTTCAAAGCTACACAGCTATATGTTTCTAAAATGGTCATTAAATGTGCTTATGAAGGTCATTTATAAATGTACCATTCCTTTATATAGTTTTTTAAATATTTAAAAAGGTTATTAGACGACCACATCGTTGTGTTATTCAACTTCCTAGAATAAACATAATTATGCATTCTTAGTGTAATTAACATCGCAAAGTGATGTGAGTGGAAGAGGGAATAATAAGAAGAATGCAGGTAGCCATTTGATCTGAGTTCAAAAATACCTAAGAATGTGAACATATGATTCCTCTGTGTAAAATGAAGTCTAAGACCTTCAGTTCCCTGGGACATTATTAATTCATTGGAAAGCTTTTGTTCAAGCTCAGTATTCGATCTCACTTATTATTTCATTCCCTACGATCATATACCAGCCATAAATGAATGAGTTCTTAGGTTCATTGTGATAGTTTATACAACTGTTTCCGTCAGTCTTCTGATCACTTGAGTTCTGTGGTCCGGTATTGACATCTATTACTAAAACAGGATTCCCTTTGAAATTTTAGCTTGTCTTACACTGTACTTTAACTCTTTTTTCTATCATATTAAGGATGGTCGTTTACGACTCGGTGATCACATTGTATGTATACGAGACTACAATGTTCGCGGATATGGACCAGATCAAGTGGCTACAGTACTGCGCCAAACTATAACCACATGTCTAAGTGAAAGTATGCTGACGTCCAGTGTAATACTTGCAAACTCTCCACCTTTAGACGAAACATCTACTATTGCTACTACTAGTACTGCCACTACGGCTAATACCACTATAACAACAATGGGAAATACCCTCTCACCAACATTCAGTAACCCTTCTCCTACAAATACTATTTTTAAGTTGGATGAAAGTAGTTCATCACCAAGTCGAATTCATCCCTGTTATCACTTGGAATCTGGTGAGACTCTGAAGTCAACTGAACACATTTTGATTAACCCGTCAGTTTTAATCAGATTGATTGTAGCTCGTCCAGCCAACGGTGATCCCACGGAACTACGCGAAATTCATTTGAAACAACAGTCACTTTGTCAACAGCATCAAGTTCTTGGAATGTTAACGTAAGTGGAGAGATGTAATGATTTATATATTTATTGTGATTCACTGTGTATGAATACTTTGTTACACGCTGCATAGTGGTAGAGGTGTTATATTCTTTTATCAAACCAATTTGTATGAGCGAATGCTCCATAAAAAAAGTAAGGATACTGTTAACTGTCTCAAAAGCACTTTCTTTCTTCAAGATTAATGTCAGACTTTGTGGAGATATATTAAAAATCATTCGCGATTCCCAAATCTTTTTTGGGTGCCTGTTTAGTTTTTGGAAAAAATACATGCTGCTTACTTGATCCTTTTAAAATGCTGATACCATCTAACTGAGAATATCGAGGAATTCAATTAGAGTTCTTCGATGAATGACAATATAAACTCAGCCAGCTATGCAGCTCAGTTGATATGTCATCAGTTCACTGAAGTTATTTGTACTAATAAGTTTGATTATATCAGGTAACGCCGATAAGCTGATACCATTTCAAGCCCTTTTTTGGTCTCAGAATATCAGTTCTGAAGTTAATCACACTGTTCCCCCAGTAAAACTGCATTATGGTTAGTAAGAAAGTACATATTACTTATTACTCACATCAATCATTTGTAGTTGCTAGACAGACCAAGGTCGTCCAGACAAACCAGACGTCCATTTCAATCGTTTGGCACTGAGTTAATCAGTGATGAACCCTCACTGACACAGTGCGAACAGCCTAACCAGTTCAAATCACAGGAATTCTGGCCAACTGCTCAGACAAATTGATAGTTTACACATACAAATTCATTATTTTGAAATGTGTCGCAATTTGAGATGGAACTTGATTACTACTCCTTTTATAATCACTGAATACTCATATCCTAGTATGCGATTTTTGTGGAATTCTCGCCACGGATGACTTTTAAAAACTCAATTTTTAATTCTAGTGTTATTCAAAAACATGTAAGAGAAATTTTACATCATTCCAGCTTATTCGTCGTGAAGCACTGGACTGTTGTTCTCGATTCTTCATTAGTGTTAGTCTACACACACCATCTCACATGATCAAATTTAAGATCATTCACAATCCCTTGAAAAGCGTATGTCAATACCTTCGACTGTGTTGATTTCTGCTTGGTCAAGATATAATAATACAATCATTTAATGTGGTCATTTCAAAACTTCATTGGTCTGTACTCTAACCGTATGTGTTTCGGTGCGCACACCCACCCATATCCACTGAACAACTTTTAATAACGATTATTTATTTCTTGTACATCCTTTTTAAATTACGCCCACTACATCATTTGAGAATGTCTCAACGACAGAAGACAGAAATTACATAATACACAGTAGAATAGATTATAATCCGTGAATAAATTCCCATCAGTTATTTGAAGCATAAGTCTTCCGATTTAGCTGTGGATATAATTCCATACAGGGTGTTCACTGGACACTAATCCAAGGCTCCAAAACTAAAATATAACACTGTTATTCAGATTTTCAGGTTTCTAGGCAATTTAGATTAATTTCAATGTAGATTTCGTCACCAACTAATACCATTTAGAGGATTACTGAAAACCATGGAGTACTGCATATCTGATTGATCTTCATTTGAGACTTACAAGATAAACCCGCAGAAATTAGAACTCATGGGCCATTCGATCACATCCCATTGGTCGAGTGGTCGGTGGGCTAACCCTGTAATCTCAAGGTCGTTGAATCATTGGTGTTTATTCCTGAAGAGTCCAGAATTAAGACGAAAGAGCTGTCCGGGACTCCCTGGTTTCTAATAGTTTTCTAGTATACGTCAAGCCATGATCTAGCTTGGAACTAATAACCTTAAATTAAAAGTCCAGCCTTCGCAAAAGCTATTCCTAGTCTGTTTCCCTCTACATATGTTTTTGTCTTCTTCCTTCTGATTTCATACTTTCTGTGCTTATTATCAGTTTATCGCCTCATTTTTCCTATCTGAAACTTCATGCTTCACTGCTATTTTCAAGACTTAAACAAAAAAACTACTTGCAAATCCTTGTCAGTAGTACGTACCAAAATATAATTACAGCAGTCATTTGAAATGCTATTAATAAAGTGACCTCATTAGAAGTTGCTGCAACAGAGCGGGTGATTTTTCTTGAAATTCATAAAACCAACAGCACTGACTCATTTGAAGATAATGTGTCTAGATCTTACAATTCTTAGTCTCTTGACTAGAGGAGAGAGCATTACTGTAAGTTAAATCATACGATTAATAATGTAGGCAACATAAAATATGGCAAGACTTACAAATTACTGTATGTTTAGTTAATTACCGGGAAATTTCCACAAAAAAGTTCAAGTAGAAACCGATTGATCTGAAAAAATGTCGTGGATGAGAAACATTCTCTGGAAACCCCAACAGCAAAAGACAACTAGATAAAGTTGAAATAATAAATAAAAGTGTCCCATAAATAAGAAAAGAGAGTAAGCAGTACAATTAAAATGAGGAACACTCATCAGTTTAAATAAAGAATTAGATTTGTCTTTCTTTCTTTCTCTCATGTTCAGTTTTCAACTAGTATTGAGACAGTTCTCCAAAAAAGTAATTTTAAAGCTACTTCTGTGTTTCCCATTGGCTGGTCATACTATACCAAAATTTACGGTCTCTGTGCTAACAAGTTAGCTTCTAGTACGTACGCTGCAACAATGTCTGAGGATTCACATAACGTTATACGGTGGAATCCAAGATGCGCATTCTCTTCTGTTTGGGGTTAGCCTCAGTTGATGTACCATCAGTCACTAAGGATCACAGGTATACTCAATATACGAGTCCTAAATAGGACAAAACGAGCATCCTGGATTCCACTGCTAGTCACCACCCACCAAAAGTTTTTCAAAGACCAATTTAGCAAAACTTTACACCTATGGCTAGTTATCATCCACTACTTGAAGAAATTTCCCAATAAATAGTGGATACCAAAAATTGTGAACCTGAGGTCAGTAGACTCTTTCTAGTCACCCTTTGAAAACCAGATTTCGAATTAAGTTTACCTAAGATATGAATCCAAAACGAATTGGACAAGAATTGCCATTAGGATCGATTATTATCTGCTGATGGGTAAATGTCGTTGAATGGTAACGTTTCTGACAGTAGTACTAAATTACAATATACTTTTTAGAAACACCTCATTTATGTGTGTTAAGACTTACGCTACAACCACTTACTGCTTAGATATACATATTTTGATTCTGAAGATGCAGCTATTTTAATTTTTCATGCATTTTGCCTTTGAAGAAATGAAACATAATTCTATGCTAAATGTATATTTTGTTTTAATATTTTTATTATAGCTTGATTCCACACCGTATTTTTGGTACAAGCATGGAATTTTCAGCACGTGATATCGGTAGCCCAAATTTTGCAGGCCAACCATTGATATCAGGTGTGCGTCAGCAGGGGATCGAACCCCGGACCATGTGCGAGAGTCCTAACCACTGTGCCACCGACGCACATGTGAAAGCTGTAGTCACTGATCTTCCCAATGAGGCTAAATGAAGTCAAGTAACACCAAGTTCCGTATTTTTATCGTACTAGGGTGTACATAAATATGTACGACTGATGAGTCCAAAAAAGCCAGAAACTCATGTTGTGGACTTCTCCACCAGATGTTATAAGACATAAACTTCTGTTTTTGTCGTCTTCTGAGTGGAGCGTAGAGCCTCGATCTCTGAAATTTTAGTAGCACTGTTGTTGTTGCACGCTAGCCCAACCACCCTTCTGATGCAGTCTTGCTACTCGCCAAGCGAGGTTTACGAATCTACCAAGTGAACCACTTGTGACGCAGTTGGCGAGTGCCACTGAACCACCAACGCACTTCACTCAAGTTTATTTAACAAAGGTGGTTGTGTTTTTTGTTGAATTGTACTGAATAAATATCCCCTCTTTTTGTTCTGCTTTAGCATTGTCCCAACACATCAGTTAGATCAATATCTTCAATTACTGCTACAAAATAAACTACCATTGGTCGATTTGTATAGTCTAACTAAGGTAAATGGTATCAACGATGGTGATAATAATAATAATAGTAACAGCAATAATAATAATAAAACCAGATCAGATGAAGACAATGAAGAAGTGGCCAATGAAACATCTCAACCAGCAGAATCTGTTGATGAAATAGTGCAACCGCACATGAAAGCAAACAACAAAAAGGCTTCGAATTCACCGCATCATCAAACAGCACATTCAGATATGGATGTAAGTGTCCCCTTCTTAAACATTTGTATAATCTTTATAACTAAGTTTACACAGTGTCATGAAGAGAGGATAAAATATTTTGAGAAATTTTATTGCGTGAAGGGAAATTAAACAGTGGAAATCAAGAATAATATTAACATTATAAATCAGGATAAAGAATATTTATATAAATTTTCAAAAGAATGGATACTGAACAAAGAGTACTCTTTTCGATAACTTCATGATCAGGCCCTACAGTTATATATACATTATAGTAAATGAATGAATTAGTGTTATGAACAACATTAATGCTGCTTAAATAACAGCGAATCAATAATATTGATAGATTACAGCTGAATAGCATCAACATAAAATATGCTGAATTTCAAAAAGATTAGGAAAGGCAATATTACAAATTCATGAATTTATAGTCTCTACTGAAGGCCAGGGCAGTAGTAGGGGCTGGACTTGCTTCTTTTGAACACAGAGCACTGGTTGTTTGAGGCGCCCCTATTAGTCCAGTATCATTGAGCCTAGTATTAGGCATATTGGTTATCGGATATCTGAGCATCATTAACCGGCATAGTTAAAACAAGGAACATCTTGTGGATACAGAATATAAATTGGATGTTCCCAAAGAATTCAAAGTTATCCATCGTATTCTGATTACTCTTAAATTTGTCTTATGAGTTCATCTTCTGCATATATCTGAGGACATTAGAATCCACTTGAAGAACATGGACCTTGTGTTCAAAAGAAATTCGTACAGTCACTTTCCTTACCCTCGCCATTACTAACTTGGGTGGTGCAATCTGACAGGTTCCCCTTCCTAACAGGCCATTTAAAAGCTAGTGTTGTTGTTTTAACTATCCTTAATTGTTGCATCTGTTTTCTCCTAAACTTTATATGATATTCAACTCAGTATTATACTTTTATGCATATTATCACCTATACATGCTTTTTGGTCTGTAATTCTACTGATCCAATCGACTAGATGTTGTTTAAATAAAATCGATGCAATCTATAAAAATTAATCTTCAAATATTATGTAAGTAAAACTGTATAATCTGATGAACTTGATGAAAAATATTCTATGCTCGGTTTTCTTATCTTCTAAATATTTAAATGGGAATTTTCGATATTTTTGTCAAGAAGAAATCAAATATCCTAGTCAAGAATTATGCAATTCCATTATGGATAAGATTTCATTTTGATAAATCACACAGTGTTGTACAGTAATATTAATTGATGACGTTTCAAGCAAAATTTATTGCCACTCATAATCATATCAAGTCACTCACACAATATAAGATAAAGTACATTCGGAAATAGTATTAGTGTTATCAATAAAATACAATAAGATGAGAAATAAGATGTTTTTACAGTAAAAATAAGTAACTTGTTAGAATGTTATAATGTGAATTGAATACATTTTAACATAATTTATTATCCTCTGATTTGACTAGTAATAATATCCTCGATATCTCTGGTATTTGTGTTGAGTCATTTCTGTTGCATGTGTTGGGTGTAGACTTAATGAACCAGGATTCAGAAATCAATCTCTCATTATCTCCACCTACCTTCATTACATTTTAGAATTTTGACTCTGTCCCGCCCTATTGTGTGGTTGTGTTAGTGCATGCAGTGCTATAGCTGAGTTTTTCTTCAAATTACTTATCTTCTCGAGGTCAACCATTCTTACCTTAGCTAAATTCTTATGTTCCGACAGTCTCAATACTCCTTATCCTGATTTTGAATCGGAAAATGAACAACGAGAATGAGCTACGTTAGGTTGTAAAATAAAAAGAACAGAAGAAGATATACTGCACACTAATGTATATAAATGAAACAAGAAAGTTATGTGAGTACCTTGGTATGACTATGAGCAATAATTTGTGCTCGAAGCGTCATCATTAAATATTACTGTATAAAATTGTTTGATTTTATCAAAATGAAATTTATCCAAAATGCAGTTATACTCTACCACGGTGCCCAAGTTTTCTCTTTATAGTATATATATATATATATATATATATATATATATATATGGTAATGAATCCTCAAAGTTTCCTTTTCATTCCTTAGTGAAATTCATTTATTTTACTTTGAACAACTTTATCTCTTTTAAAATAACTCTGAGTTAAGATTTTAGAGGAAAATCAGTACTGCGTCAGACCTTTGCTAAAACTACAATCTGTGGGCAATACATATTTTTTCTTCGAGCACTTACTTTAGAGAATATTTTACTGTTTGGTATTCTCTGTCCTCTTCCTTTCTTCTCTTAAATAAATTCTATCTATTCTCCACAATTTGTAAAAGAATATGACTCACACGAATACACCCATGGAAATTTTCCTCACTGAATTAATTTTTACCGTTTTTCTGAGTCATACGATGATAAAATACAGTTAAACAGAAAAAAAAATTGAAGACTATAAAACACTAAACCCGACTTCAGTCAGCGTTACATGAATTATATCTTTGCTGGTAGTAGAATATACATGCATTCAGTACTAGTGTTTATGTAGTGAATTCACCAACAAAACTCTTTCGTATTTAGATACGTTAACATTTGGAGTATGATGTCAGTGATATATATACATATATATATGTATATATGTCAAGTATTACTGTTCTCCTAGGTCTTATCCTTTCTACATAACTAATTTCAATGTTTTATCTGCTTATGTTACACAGGATTAAATAATTTTTTCCATTTATTCTAAATGAAATGGATTCAAAGTATATCTTTAAATGCTGTCAACGCGTTGTTCTGTATGAGAATATCTCCTACTGGCATACATTATCATCTAAGAGCATTACATATCTCTAACTGTCTGAAATGTATTGTATGAATCCTGGTTTTTTAATGTCAGCTCTTAATTGTAGATGGTTGATTTTAGGGCTTGGAGAATTAGAGTGGAGCGGGTCTGCACCAATCTACTGTCTCATAAAACTGAAGGTTATAGAAAGACGACTCTTCTTTAAAAAATGTACCCTATGGTAAAATTATTTTATGTTATATGTAATCGGATAATTCTAAATAGTGAGTTGAAAGTGCCTAGCAGGAGAGTCCAGGACACGTATTTCGTCCTATCTGGGACCCAGTGGCTTAATCTGCTTGTTTCTTTAGTAAGTGATTATGATCACCAATGATATTCCCAATTGAGGTGGACTGGATTATGCGTCAGACTGTTGAGGACGAGGAGTCAGGAATACGCTGGACGACCGATAAGAAGACACCACAAGATCTGGATTTCGCAGATGATATATGTCTAGTGTCACACAAACTCGAAGAATTGCAGGCAGACGGAAACCTACAAACTGGCTGAAAAGGCAGCAAAAACAGGACTGCAGCTGAACATAGAGAAGGTGGAGACGGAGACGATGAAGATAACTAACGAACCGCAACAACAACTATAACCAGCGTCAATCACCATCAACGGGAGAGATTTAACAGAGGTTGCTTCCTTCACTTATCTAGGAAGCATCCTTTCAACTACAGACAGTCGGAACGGACGAAGATGTCAAAATCAGAACCGGGAAGGCAAGACACACCTTCATCAACCTGAAAACCAGTCTGGAAATCCTCCGTACTCAGCATAAGGAACAAGATCTGCATTTTCAACACAAATGTGAAGTCGGTTCTTCTATACGGGTCAGAAACTAGGCCTGTGTGTCACGAAAAGGATTTCCAATAGGTTGCAGACTTTTATCAACAGCTGCCTTCGCTGGCTCCATACTGAAGATCATATGGCCGGTCAGAAAGAATAAGCAGCAAGAAACTATGGGAACAAACCAACGAAGAGCCGATCGCTCAACAAATATGTAGGAGAAAGTGGAGATGGATCGGGTATACATTGAGGAGGCTGCCAAATGGCATCGCACGCCAGGCCCTCGAGTGGAATCCAAACGGGAAGTGACGAGTGGGTCGTCCTAGGGTGACATGGAGGACATAGTGTGAGGAAGAGATGAGAGAGTTTGGTCAATCGTGGACCCAGCTGAAGAGGACGGCAGAAAACAGAACGAAGTGGAGATGTGTTGTTGAAGCCCTATGTTCCAGTCGGAACTCAAGCGAATAATAATAAGTGATAGTGTTCCTATAGACACTGGAACCCACAATCCATCATTTCGAGAGCCAGACTGATTAGCTATTCGTGCAACGGACCTCAGAAGTTAACGATCAAAATTATTTTGCATTTTTTGTTGATTGATTCCATGAAGTCGTAATGCTTCATCCCTATTGACACATCAACCCATGACGATAGCTTGAGGTTAAGTGATACTGTTTCGCTGACATTTTAGTGTTATTGTGCTCCCTGAACTGGCTTATGATACTTTCATTGTACTTCTAGCGAAAAAATCTGCAGCACTAACTTCAAAATGGAATAAACTTCCGGAATTCATCATTGATGAAATATGTATCTATCATGATGACATGAATTGTGGTTGATGATATTCATTCCTGTTGACATTGGTCTTTCCAATGGCCTGAGATTTATCCTATTGATTTTGCGTAGTTCATTCTTTTACTGACTGATAAGTTTCCGCTGCGACATCACCTTTGAATTCTAGGTTCATGAAGAGAGTCTTCTTAGGAACCGTTGCGATGTTTGACATCGGAAGCTTCTCCTTCATGTTTTTGTCAACAAATCTTGGTGGATACCCATTCTCTAGTAGGGTTTTACGTAATAAATTTAATTCTTTCTCCACCATGTCTTCCGAGCAGATTTTTCTAATCCTTGAGCACAACGTACGTACCAGGTTTCTCTTTCGGATTAGTGGGACGAAGCTCTGGAAGTTGATAAACTGTCCAGTCCATGTTGGCTTGCGGTATATTGATCTTTGGATCGTACAGTCGTGTCGTCTGACTGATAAGTCATTAAAATGAAGCATTGAGTGAAATACTGGCGGGTTGGCTCCTTGAAGGCTTTTATCGATATTCTTGCAAGAACTTCTAATGAAATTTTTTTCAAAATGCTGATTAGTAACCAAAGAATATTCCTTTTTGATAACTTCCTACTTAAATATTATATATAAATATATAATTGTACAGCCAGATGAGAAAGTTATTGAAAAGAATGTTCTTTGCTCAATTTTTTTTATCTTTCAAGTATCCATAATAGTTAAAGAATAATTGTTATTAACAACATTTATGCTTTTTTAAATCATATGTTTAACATGTGTGTATGTGATAATGTGCATAAATTTAACATCAAATTCAATATGAGATAAATCAAGAAATATAATACGGAATTTATGAATCTAAAGATCCCACAGCAGGCCAGAGTAACAATAATGATTGGATCTGTTTCTTTTGTACTCAGAGTTCCAGAGTTATTTTAGGCGGATGCCTACCTATCCTTTTTTTGCAATATTGGATATCTAGAAGCATTCGACAATTCATTTAATACTTCCTAGATAGTAGAAAAAGATTCTTTAATACTTTATGGCTTATGGCTTGTTTGTAGCAGATGACAAGCAGTATTAATCCTCCTGCATAAAAGTGATTATACTAAAAAGATGAATGATATTTAGTGAGAGAAAAACCAGAGTTTCTCAAACTGTAAGAGAGCTATCAGACGTTTGACTAAACTAAAGGGAAACTAAATACTTCCTGAAAGTTTATATAATGAATTCAGGTCCATGGGTACATGTAAATCAAGAGTAGATGGCCTACCCAAAGTACATTAACCAAGAATACTGTTAACATCATATGTATATATATATATATGATTTTTTCATGAATAAACATCATTCATATGAGTAATGGAAATGAAGCGTCACTGCACATCAGTTTCCTCTTAGTCTGGTATGTAACAATGGCATCCACTTAACGTCTAATGTTGATTTTTGGTGAAAATGGACAGACAGATGAAAACTGTCTACCTCGTGACGAGTCCCAGTTGTCCCAGTTGTCTTGGGTGGAGATGGTCGGACTGCGTTGAGTGGATGTTATGCAGTGCTCAGAAGCTGAAGGTCAGATAAGTAAACCAACCAGCCAACCACACTTCTGCAGTAAACGAGTCAACAAGTTTATTATTGTTGTTATTATTTCTCGTGAGGTCATTTACTGGAAGTTTTTTTTTCTATCAACTAGGAACTTCAAGAAGATGAACCATATTCAACACTTCAAGTTATCCTTAACTCACAAAATTCCTCAGAATCAGATATTGAACAAGTGAATAATCATTTGATAAGTGGAAAAATTGAAATTGATACAGTCAACAGTGAGTTGACATTTTCAAACTTAGTATCTCATGTTGATTTCCATTTATGTTAGACAGTTGACGATGGATACTGTTAGATTATTATTACTACTGAAAAAATTGCTGTAGCAAATATACGCACTAAGAATGCTTGACGGTGATCGTGACCATTATAGGTTGAAAGAGAATTATTATTCATTATAGAGGTTGAGTAATTATATCACAAATGTCTTCGAATCCACGGAAAAAGATTAAATAGACGCCGATCGCTAGGTTTACTGTATTTTACTTTATGAGTAATTGCTGTCGGCTTGTCGGCTTCAATGCTCTGTATTCAATTATTGGAAAGGCGTGTACTGTTGTTGTTATCTTAAAAGTCAAAATTTTAAAAAGATTCTTGAAAAAACTGAAATAATGATCCACCCACCTAGATTTTTTGACAAAAGTCTTCTCATGCCGGCAGGTTGTCATTAAGTTCTTAATGCATTAAATGCAGTCAATGTGCAATTCCAGTTTAGTTTGTTTATTATGTCATCCAACTTTTTGTAAACGACTTACATATTGTTCCTTTGGGGGATATTCCCCCGAAGTTCTCGACACATTCGACTAGAATCTATAAAGAAAGTAATAATTAGATGTTGATTAGCAGCCGAAATGTTGTAGATTCAAAACTTAACTCTGGATTCAGATGTATTTCGTATAATCATTCTCTTTCATAGGTAATTAAGCACTACTGTGTAATACTGCTTGTCTTTTTCTGATACGATCTCCTTATTCTTCAGTTGTTTTTTTATAGTTTCCCAGATGATTCTTTCTATCACGCGTTAGTCTATAGATAGCTTCCTACATCTACACTGTCTGAAACGATTTGGATTTTTCTGGAAATTTTATCGAATCACTAGTCACCGAATTCTATATTCTGAGTCCTACTTTGATGAGTAGTTTATAACGCCAAAATAATATAAATTACAGAGTTCATCGATAAAAGTACCGCTAATCATTTTTGTGAAGTAATTTGGAAACTGCTACAACACTACTCAAAACATGTGTCAAATTCATATGATGATTTTATACTTCGGGTGATTCACAACGGAAAACTCAGAGAAAACTTTGAAGTGAAGAGAGGAGTACATTAAGGCTGCCTGCTATCATCGATGATCTTCTTCACTGTGTTGGACTAGATTATACAGTAGACTATGGGGTACGAGAAGACAAAAATACGTTGGTCCGATAAGAAGACTCTAGAAGATCCGGACCTCATGGACAACTTATGTCTAATGCTTCACAAACTCGAAGATATTCAGCTGAAAACCAATAAGTTGGTAGAGGAGGCAGTAAAGACAGGACTTCAGGTGAACATAGAGAAGAGAGAGGTGATGAAGATACCTAAGCAACAAGAACAACAAGCACCAATTACCACCAACGGCAGAAATCTAAATGAAGTCACCTTTTTCCCTAGTCTAGGCAACATTGTTTCAGCTACAGGCGGTGCCGATGGAGATGTCAAATGAAGGATCGGAAAAGCAAGATGGGCGTTTATTACTCTAAAATAAGTTTTGAGATCTACGGCACTGAGCATCAGGAACAGAATCCTAATCTTCAACACTAATGTCGAGTCAGTTAGGGCTTCTATTTGTTTCAAAGACTTGACGCGTAATAGAAGGCATTTCCAACATTTTACTGCAGAGTTTATCAACAGCTAACCCTTTCGCATGGTACTTAAGATCAGATGGCTGGAATGGAATAGCAACAATGAATCAACCAAGAACCTGCTGCCCAACAAATATACAGAAGGAAATGTAAACGAATCAAACCGTCGAGTGATATCATGCTCTGAAGGGGAAACGGTGATTTGGGCGTAGGTGTCTGATGCGTGAGTGACATGGAGGCAGCAGTGTTTGCAGGGAACAAAAAATTATATGCAGTCATGTCAGAGCCACTTATAAAAGACTGAAGAAAACAAAGGTGAATGGTGATGTGCCACTAAAGCCTTATATTCCACTCCGAACCCAAGGGAATAATAATAATAGTCGATGCTGGACACAAATTTCATCAGTTAACCAATTCGAGCTAAGCTTTTCTTTACAATCATATTTTATCATTTGTGAATTCCGATTTAGTCAACTTTTTGGTTTTCTATTAATTCTTCGAAGTATTCACCACAAAGCTGTCAACTTATAATCTCATTGAACTGATGGGTTGTGACTTTATGGACGAGTTTGCTTTAGATGCTAGACAATCTTAAACATCTAAAGTCTGTGATGTATGTAATTATGGAGTTCTAAGCTGTTTCCCAGTGTTCGTGATAGTTTATTGATGAAAACGGTTGCAAACGACACTGTTGACCATTTGTCAGTCAGTAATTAGGAAACATATCTGTTTCAATATTCCCAATCGGCATCTTATAGTCTTGGTGTTTTTATGATTTCTTTTTGTGTGAATTGTTGTTGTTCAAATGCATGCTTTACTTTCCGTTTTCTTATTTAAATTATCAAGGTGAATATGGTGAACACATAAAATCCACTCGAAGAAATTCATCTAACTATCACAGTTATATTCTTCATCGTTCTCCTCCTACTTCCGGCGTTGCTATCACCGCATGCTCATCTGTTAATCAGTGTGACTTAGAAAATATTATTCAACAAAGCTCATCTTCGCATGTTAATAAAAATAACAATAATTCAGAACAGACAGAAATTCATAGTGTACATTTAATCAAACCAAAAAATCAAAGTTTAGGCCTGAGTGTTGTTGGATATATTTACAAAAATCCTTACAACGGTAAGTTGATCATCATCTTCATTTGGTTTCTACTAATTGTGTAAATATTAATAATAATACTAATATTCAAGTGTTGGTTTGTAGGGATTTGATTGATTGCTTACAGGATTTCATCATGAGCTGACATAGGTTAGAGAACCACTGGAAAACCTGAGAGTACTGGGCAGCTGTTTCGTCCTAGTTTGAGATTCTTCATAAGTACACACCTATCGCCAGGGTTCGAACCAGTGCCTTCTGGTTATAAGGCGAGCTTGTAGACCATTAAGCCACTTAAACTGGATCCAATGGCCCATGAATTTTAGTCCAGTACTGTCCAGTACTCCCAGGTTTTCCAATGGTTCTCTAAACAATGTCAGCTCATGATGAAATCCTGTAACCAATAATAATAATAATGCTGTTTATGCATTATACTTGTTATCTAAGCCGAAGAATATTTATGAATAGATAGATGTCTAATGGTTAGAACCAATCTATGTGCTGAATCACAGAGAAGGACATCAGTGCCCTCTATCTTCATGCTGTGGGAGTACCCCTCACAAAAGTGAAAGGGTGAATGCAAAAGTCTGATGTTTACAACCCGGCTGGTGAACATTTTGGTCTGCCCAGGAGACGTGGAAACCCTGATTATGAACCTACGATATACATAGGCTCCAAAATCGGGATGGATTGAATGCCTTATGAACCTGTTTTTTATGCCAGTAACCACGGGAACGCAGCTCGACTGCCTTGAGGATCAGACTTAAAGTCAAATGCTTGGAGGCAGAAGCTAGAGACAACCACCTGCTTCCATTTTTGCATCTGGCCGGTATTTCAGCACTCACACAAAATAACGAGATTTTGTGTGGAGCATTTTTTCATGGCAATAATGTACCAAGTTTGTATTTTTAAAGTAAAAATAACAATAATATTAGTAATATTAATAATATTGATCATTTCCCTCAAAGCTGCACATGAGTCTTAATGTCGAGTATCAAAAACCAAGAAAACTAGATGCAGAGCTTCTAAACACATAACATCAGTTTAAAGTGTAGTGTAGTGACCAGCCATCTAGCTTGATAAAATAAGACAAATAAGTTATTTACTGGTTGCACAATAGCTCAGTTACTTGAAGGAATCTTTACCCGTACCTGTAAGCCATTGCCTGTAAACGGTGTGCTTTAGCTGATGTGCCATAAATTCACTAATTACAAAGAATCAAGGACTACGTTCGTATGTTTTCAAAAAAAATTAGTTTGGAGAAAGAAAACCATCAGAGAATGAAGATGCCATTCTTCCTAGCTTCGGAATATCAAAAAAATTAATTTTCAACAAAAAAATCACATTAACAGGACGCTCTGAACTGGAGTAAATAGCTAATAGAATACATCAGGAAGTTAGATTCTGTATAAACCGACACTACTGACCACTACAGCTAAAGATTCCAAATGTAGAATGAAGTGAATGTCATACACTCATTGGTTTATCACTACTTTGTAAAAAATTCTTTCTAGAATAAACTACGTGAACATTTGCATTTATAAGTTTTAAAACACCATCTAGTAGTGAAAGAATATTCCCACCGATAACATTTTATTCTTCAAGTTCTACAGTTAGACATCTATATTCATCGAAGAAAAGCTGTAGCGTTTGTTTATAAAGTGGAATCATTATGTCCGGAGTGCCTTAGAGTTGCATACAAGAAAGGTGTATACGAATGATAATATGACAGTGAGTAATGTATTTTAATGTAAATATCGTCACGAGAACCAATGAAAACCATAGAGCACTGGAACAGCCTTTTCATCCTAATCTAAGACTCTTCAGAAGTGAGCACCTACAACTCCATCAGGCATCGAACCCATGACCCTCAGGCTGAATTTAACCCAAGCCCATATAAAATCCACCATTTAAATAATAACCAACAGCTCACTAATGGCTACTAGATAGATGTCCTGAAGCTGCATTGAGAAGTCGTGACCAGTAGGAGCCGCTACGTTAATGTGAGATGGATACTGATCGGAGGCACTGAAGGTTGGCAGTAGTGCTATATCGTGAATGGACAGAAGTTCGAATTCACTACCAGTTAAACTACTACGCAAGTGAGGAAATGCTCAGCGAGCTCATCTCACTTACCTCAACGTCCAGGGTTTGATCCGTGGAGGGTCCCAAACTAGGATGAAACAGTTGTCCAGTACTCGCTAGTTTTCAGTGATTTTCTAACTCTTATGTAAAGTTCCTGACTAGTTCTACCTTGAAATTAATCCAAGAACCATATTCTAAATGACGTACAATTCTCAACACTTGTCACTAATGGTTAGAAAAGTGAATTGCATTCGAAATGATTATAAAGTTCATATGAATCAATACTGATATTTAAAAAATAAATCATAAACAGAAAAACAAATACAAGGTGAAATTTTGTATGTTAATGAATATGCAAGATTGGATAAACAAAGCTAATTTTTAAAATAAATAAATAAATGAAAGGTTTATTCAGGCAAGCATTAAAATACAAATGAATGAATCAGCGAAAAATAGAAAGATTTTATTAGGAAGACCGGATACATGAGCAGGAATTATGTGTACGAAAAAGCACAAACAAACAAACAGGTTCATCCACTTACTGTTACTACTTTTCTTTGCTTTTTTCATCCTTCTCCATCCTTCCTGGAGCATAAGGCTTCATGTCTTTTAAGCGTTTCACTAAAGGTGGACTTGTTTTTATGAAGTGGATTTACTAGCCTAGAATCCATATTTTTTCTGGGCTTACTACCGATTAGTAAATTAAACTGTTTAAGAATGTATCAGACATGAATCGAAAATGGACCTCCATTGTGCCTGGTGAAAATTCCATCACTGTCCTGCTTTGGAATCTATAAGCTCTTAAACAGACCGAGCACTTTCGTCCAATCAATCGACAGGAAAGTCTAAATTGAATTGGATAATAATATGACCTGTAACACAAGAGGTGGAGCTCGTGGCCCAAGTGGTCTAGGGGATAACACGTTGGCATTTGAAACTATGGGCACTGGGTTTGAGCCTCGGTGGGAACACCATCACTCACTGGGTAATTAGGGTACACACAACTGACGAGTCCCAAATAGGACGAAATGCGCATCCTGGATTCCACTTCTAGTCACCATCAATCAGTTGACTTCAAGTTAATATTATGGTCTATTTTTGAGTTGTGTTATCTTTCAATTCTTTATCTTTCATTTACTTATTCAAAACTTCAACAATGAATTATTAGACATAGTCAGAGATCATAAACTCTTTAGTGCCATTTCAGTAGCTGGATGGTGAATAGGTTGACCTAGAGCTTCCAGCTTCAATCCTATATGAGGTCACGGATACGTAATGCTGAAGAGTTCCAGACTAGGGCAAAACCTCTGCCTAGTACTTTCTAGTAGTTTTCAGCGATTCTCTAACTTATGTAGTATGATGTAACTTGAAACATGGAAAGTAATTGATCGAATGTTAGATGACTGGAGGCAATCATCAGGAAGCCTTGAACCTTGGTTTCGTGCTAGTTGGCACTCGTGAGTAAGGCGTATCTGCAACCTTAAAGGAACTCATGTCCCTTCTGAGATTCAAACCAGCTTCACCCAGTGCTTAAGACAGAGACGTAATCAAATTAGTTGTACTTCGTAGCATGTTTTTGTGTTTTACAGCTTGTTAAACATACTATAAATAGATTGAAAGAATATCTGTAGTTTGACTTTGTCATAACTGGAATTCATCCTATGAATTTATTGTTAGTCGCTCAAATGAAAATTTCTATTGCATAGTCCGCGTTCTGAATATTTTTTCCCAGAGTAGCTTCCGTGATGATTGAACTTTATCTAGTGTACTGTCAGGAAGTCATAGGTAAGCAGATACATACATGCCTTTTTGTGGTTTCTGGTTACTCAAGAGTATGCAGCCCTAATCGTCTTCAGTATATAACCTAGGACTGTCAGGTTTCGCAGCAGACACTTTACCATTTAGTCATCTTAGGGGATGTACATTTCAGTTTCTAATTATTTCTGTTATATCACAACCTTCTGGCTACGAAAACTTACAGCTGTTATCTCGCTGGTGTACAAGTCTCTGAGTTTACACTGCTGAAGTGTTTCATACAACAATGAGCTAGGTGTTTAGTTTTCCTTAGTTAGTGATCTTTGTTTTATGAAGTCTACCAGATAAAAAATACGCATAAAATCAGGACACCAACAAAGACAGTAACATGATTGTTAATACAAAGTAACATTCAAAGAGATATTAACGTTACTGCATCCTTTTGTCACGAGCTGATATAAGTTAGAATTCATGGCCATTGAATCGTATCCCAGTGGCTGAACGGTAAACGGGCTTACCATGTAACCGTAAGGTCCTGTAGTCGAAACCTAGGGGCGCGTACTGCCAATGATTCCGCAGTCAGGAGGAAAAATCTGCCCAGTATTCCCTGGTTTTCAATGGTTCTCTAAGTGATATCAATCCGTGGTCAAACCTGAAACAAATAGAATCCCTTCAAACTATTCCTTCAAAATAAAGAAATGTGCACCAAATTCTATAACTACTGACAAATATAAAAGTAGACAAAGTATTATTGAAACATTAAAAAAGCTTTTGTTTTTATTTCAGAGAATAAATATGACCGTGGTATTTTCGTCAAAAGCATTATCCCGAATAGTATATCAGATCGATGCAGATCAATTCAAGTGAACGATCAAATAATAGAGGTAAGGAAAGGATCAGTAATGTTCAAATCTAAGCGTAAAACTTGAATACTGTGGTTTGGTATATAATTCCATACTCGTTTTTCTGTTGGATTTATGAATCACAGTGGGACAGTATTGTTTAATGGGTGGCAAAATCTTGAACACTACCTAGTGTTCATAATCATATCATCACGTGTAACTACACATCTTCAAAACTTGATTCCTGTGATTCTTTCGCAACCTTTCCATTTGCCCTCAAGGTAGTAGAATTTTCCAGATATCTGGGACAGATGTTGTATTTAAAACGATTAGTTCCCTTGTTTAATTTGGACGAAGCAATAAGAAGACATAACTTGTCTGAATTTTGTAATGTATTTGGGTAGCACATTTCGTATAATCTTATCACACACTGAATTATCATAGGAATATATATGAAATCAATAAAGAGTTAAGAGGTGAGAAAATAAATTTAAATCAAGTTAAAAGGACATATTGAAGGTCAAAATAACTATTAAAATCACTAGAATTCATGAGGCATTGAATCGGGTCCCAGTGGCTGAATGGTATACAAGCTTACCTTGCAACCGGAAGGTCCTGAGTTTGACTCCCAGTGGGTGCCTGCTACCGATGATTATTAAACTAGGATGAAACAGCTGTCCAGTACTCCCTGGTTTTCAATGGTTCTCTAACTGAAATCAATCCGTGATTAACTCGTAAAAGCATAATTAACCCTAACAAACCCAACTATAGAAAATCACTAAACCAAATAACAGAGGTAGTAGTGCATCTGCCCTGAGTGGTATAAAGACAGAGTCTACCGAGGAAGGTAGGTTTAGTGTGATGACGAATTGTTTTTGAACGCATAGAGGTGGTTTAAACTTTTTAATTGATAGGGCTTCCACAAACTTCAGCATACGCCCCAAACACGTTTTATAGATAGGTTTAAAAGGTCTGTTAACGTGAATTTTATGTCCTGTCTCTATGATGTCTTTCACAATAGAGGAACTAGGTCTCCTGTTCTCACCATTAATGGGTTCTGAAGATTCTATTTGCTTCTGGAGTCATTTAGGAATATGCTTTGAATCCCTTACTTGCAGAGATCTTTGAGTCCTCCCTATGTGTGTATGTCCACATGTACATTCAAATCAGTAAATACAGTGGGATGCAATGTCATTTTTCTCATGTTCAAAGGGCTTAGATAGATATATTGGCTTCACATTCTCAATTATTATGATATTAGCTGCATAAAAAGTCTTTTTAACAGCATCGTTCAATCTTTTTCTATTTGTCAAGTTACCATGATGCCTCATATAGGGTAGCTTGATTTACACGTCTTTCTTAGAGACGAGTTGGAGAGTAGGCCTTGGTGTTTTGACTACTTTATATATCCTGGTGAACTTGTCTGGATAACTGTTATCAACCAGAGTTTGTGTCAACTTTCTTGCTTCCTCATCAAGTGTGTCTTTAGTGCATGTTCGTTGAATTCTACTGAAGAGGCACCTTTCGAAGGCTCTTTTGTACCGAACAGGGCAGAAATTGTGATAAATAATATACTGTCCTGTTCAGGTGGGTTTTCTATAAATAGATCGTTTTATTGACCCATCAGGCCGTCGACTCAGCAGTATGTCTGGGGAAGATAAACAATTATCTTCCTCTTCTACAGACGTAAGTGATATGCTATTCTGATCAGATTGTTCGAAATATGTTGTGCAGATACATTACACGATTCAAACAAATTACGTCTTGTTTTTCCTTTGTCTAGATGTTGTATTACTGGGAGCTAAGCACTATTGTTTACAGAAAACCCTCTTATTAAAACCTACATTTATGTTTCAATTCATCCCACCCCACTTCAGTGAAAGTAGGATTAGTGGATTGTTTAAGTGATGGGTCAAGATAACTAAATAGCACCAAAACATTGTATACGATACGAAGTAAGATATAAGAGAGAAGCTTGAAACCTAATAACTACCCTGATAAATTAATCAGTAAATATACAGAAAATAATAATAGCAATGACAAAGAAGATATAAGTGATAAACATACTAAGAAATATGACAACACGAAGTATAAGGAATTTAAAATATCTGCCTATATGGGGAGAAATCTCTAAAATCTTACGTCGTATTCTTAGCAAGGCAGGAATAAAATTGGCATTCAAATTCACAAACTTAAATACAAATTATTTCGGTTAAAGGATCCTGTGGTGCCTGTTAGACGAAATAATTTAATTTATTTGATGCCCTGAAATGACTGTTAGGTCAAACAAATGAATCAGAGCAGTAGACTGGCTGGAGCACAGTAACCTAGTGAAGTCTAGATTTATTGACGCTAATAAAATAAAGAATTTAGAAGACGTTCAGTCAAATCTGTATATACAGTTTTACACAACCATACAGTAGTATGGGACAAGATGACAATCTTGAAATTCAATATAACAGGTTGGAGGAGGGATTAATATCCAAAGCCTTACTCATCTAATCATATAATGATATGCACAATAAGAACGATTCAGCTCCTATTCAGAATGTTCCAAAAATTGTACAACCCTTACAACAAATGAGAGCGAAGTAAGAGAACTGTAGAAACCAAGTTTTATAGTTACGCTTGATGATATGACTATGAACAATAAGTTATGTTGAAAAAGCCAACCAGTAAATAACACTATTTTACTGTGTGATATATTCAACAATCAATAATGTTTTGCTGTAAGTGCCTGCTACATGGTTTCTTTTGTTGGATATTTATACAATTTTACGAAAATTCAACAATCACTTAAACCGCATGTGAAATACGGATGACTTATCTGGTTTTGAAAGTCAGTAGGGGATGTAGTTCTAAGAAGGAAAGAACATAAGAAGAAATCCTAGCTAAACTCCATCGTCTTCTGGAAAAAAATTTAAAAACCCAACAAAAATTTTGAAAACTAAAAGTGTGTAAATTCTTAAAGGCTCAGAAATAATCAGATTTTGAAAGCTTAATTGACTCCTAATACATGACTGGTCATTTAGAAAGACAGATTAAAGACTATGTCCATTTTTGATACTTGATTTGCACACTGATACAAACACGCACATACAATCCTGTAGTTTACAAAGAATGTGAATGACTTGTATTCACGCACTCAGCATTACTGTGACGTTACATTTTAGGAAATGAGTCTCTTAGTTCCCACAACGGACCCACAGTACGAAACGACCTTTAAGAGAATGCTAAGCAGTTGTCAAAAGAGATGATTAATAGGTATAAGACTTTTATGAGCACTACAAAGAGTTATTCTTCAAGTAAAAATCTGTGAATGATCGTAACTACTAAATTCATACATTTCAAAAGTCTATAACTCGGCAACTATGTGTAATTTATGCATCGGATCTAATTAGACTGAAGTCTAATGATAAGTCATCTGTCTAGTTATCTTAAAGATAAGTGGAGCAATGCATTTGGTTAAGAGACAACTGGCAAGGTACCACTCTGGACGTAATTTTCTAAGGCATCAGCATCAGTTGGAAAAATGCACTCGAAACCTGTATTTATATCCAAAATTACATCATTCGCTGTTGAAATGAAGCATTATACGAGTAAGTTGTTTAGGACAGACTTGAACCTCTATAAAAAATTCGACTGCACACGTGTATTGCTCTTTGAATGGTAAGCACTATAACCGTCATTTCCTAAGGATGTGCTTCGGATGACACATTCTATGAATGTGACACATACCGAGGTCATTGGTAATATTGTCGCATTGGATTTCTTCCTCTTGTGATTTGCTTTGGACGCCGTGAACTTAGGATTTGTTCAGAAAAATGACGTGGGTGAATGTAACAGACAAATTAAAACTCATATAGGCAAAATGATTTGATTAATGTTCATCATAGTAAGTACCGTATTGGTGAAAACTCCCATGTCTACTACTATACACGCACGCCAGACGAAGTGTCACTTAGTCTCCTTGATTTTTCAGTGGCAATGTGGGCACAATTGTCCAGCCATTTAGTTTATTCGTTTCAGCATATTCGCAGGGTAAAAGTAGCTCGCGATTTTTATTTCATGACTTTTCATCAGCTTCTGATGCCCTATCCTCTCCTCTTGAAAGTCCCATCATGTTACGCTCATCACTGATTCTTTATTTGCCTACAGTTTAGTTTGTTTGTGTCTTCGATAGCCTCAGCTGCCTGAGAGAATGACTAAGAAATATTTATTTGTGTTGGTTTTGTATTTTCCGCTGTTTGATTATATTGCACCGAAATATCCTATCACTGTGTCGGTCCCTAGTAAGGACAATCGGTGATGTCTGGAGATCAAAGTTGTATTATTTGTTGCATGGTGACTAGCAGTGGAATCTATGACGGGCGTTTTGTCCTGTATGGAACTCATCAACTCTGTGACATGCTATTCTCACTGTTGGTGTTTGGGTGTTGGGTTCAGGTTTCATTCAGAACACCAACATTGGAGATTGAAGCCACATCCAGCTCACTAGTCCATAATAGGACAAATTCACATCTCGGATTTCATTTCTAGTCACCATCCACCAAACGACAAAGAAATATGTCCTCTGATAAGTGGCATCAATGCTTTTGATTTAAATTTTTTTAAATATGCAATATTTTCTACTTTTTGTCACTACAGCTTAATGAAACGTCACTAGTTGGTTTAGACAATGTGCAAGCTATTTCATTGTTAAAAAAGGCCAACGCAAATATTACCCTAAAATTAAGACGTTACCTTCATGGCTTCCTGTATGAAGAATTGAAAAAAACAGGTATGTCATTTTAATATGTGAAGTCTAATTTTAACAAACTGTTCTTTAAAATAACTGCCTTTTCAGCCTTCGCTGCCATAAGTCCATGAAAAAAGGAAACAATACGTTATCTAGTGAATGAACATGAAAATCTTTAACATTGTTTAAACAATGAGTATTAGAAAAAACTATAGATGCAGTTCAGTGACTGGACGTTTCAAAGATTGGATGACAGTATGATTAGTGTCACTCATGTAGTAAAATCAATAAGAACAGAACGGTTGTGATATAAGTAGGGAAAATATGAATTTATTTGCCAGCTGTTTGTTTGCTGACGATGTGACAGTTTTGCTGATATATGGGTTCGATACTAATGCCGGTCACCGATTGCTTCTGAACCCCGAAGTCGAAGCGGGTAAAGACAAAAGACAGACTGGTCCGTGCCAGTGGTAACAGTTCAAATTCACCATACAAAAATACAGAAAATGCAGAAAAATCTTTTTTTTATTTTCTTAACACGCTGGGATTAATTTAAATAATTTATAATGAACAATACGTTACCTACGGATTTTACGTACCTCGAAAAGTTAAGCTAACTGGTAAGTCATTATATTGCTTGCACAAGTTCGGACTTCTAGGTCGTCCAATTACGTTGTAATAAATATCCTGCACCGGCCCGACAGTCTAGTTTGTCCATTCTTGTTCGATCCTGTCTAAGCCTGTTTTAGCTGGTTTAAGTGGCTTCCTACCCTTAAAACACTTATTGCAAGTCACTTGATACTTTTATGCAAGACTTTATAAAATTTATTATTTGTTTTTGCATCCTCAAGATTCCTCGTTCCATTGAATATAACTCAGTGCTAGGCAGTAAACAATTAACTTCGTATCATAGACAAACACACACGAAAACATTCCTATTCTTTATTATAGACGAATTACGGTGTTTAGATTTTTTTCAGCTATAGTGAGATTCAATTTTCGGATTTGTACTAATCTGAATAATCCCAATGTGGTTTTCATCAAGATCCCACATCAGTTAGCGAATCACTGAAAACCAAGGAACACAGTCCATCGGTTCCACCCGATTTGTGACTATTCAGCAGTGTGCATTCATGACCCTACTAGAAGTCTAGCTCAAGATCTCCACTTTAATATGTGATCACATTTGTTATCTGTCTACCGTGCTGAAAACTAATAAGCCATGAATTCTAACTCCTGTCGATTACCGACGTAGTACAAATGTCAACCAGTGATGTCAGTTACCATTCACTTCACACACGATATGGTAGAGATCATCGGTCTCCACTTCTTAGTATAAGGCAATGTCATTGGATTCCAAACCTTTGGCGGTATAGTAAATGTGATCGCCTCGTAAACTGAAGACCCTAGACTTGATATCTGGTGAAGTCATGCGTACATACTACTGAATAATTGCAAACTAGGATGAGACAGATGTCGAGTGCTTCGTGGTTTCCAGTGATTCTTTAAATGATATCTACATGTGACGAAATTTAGAATAAAGAACTTTGTGATTTCTTTGGATATATTGGTCATATTACATTCCACAATACTGTGACTATAGCAGATTCTCACGAGGAAAATTTACACCTTGCGAGCTAGATATGTATCTACCGAAAATACTATCTGTTCTAATGCTTGCAGAAATTTTCATGTATAAATCAGCTGTGTATGTCACCTGTTTTTTCGTTGATTCTAAAGAGGCAGTTATTACAAACGATAGTTTTAACTCTTCATCCAAAATATCAGGACTACATATGAGCCGAATGCGAGTGGTAAGTAACAGAATCATATCTCGTTTTTAACCAATCGGTACCCATCTTTAGGCGATACGGCAATTGTATATGCTAATCTGCTCCTTTTAATTTCCTGTTTTACAAATTCTTTTCTTTGGTCTTTATTTTTCCAATAGGTTCTTTTGTAATGAATACTAGTAGCCAAGAAAATCCATGCCTAAAGTCACCTGAAAATTCTGAATCAGATATAAATTCAGATTTTCCCCAGTCAGTTCAGGAAAATAAATTTAAAAGTTATGCTATAAATGGTTATGAAACAAGTGACTCATCAACATCAAGCAAGCAACATCGAGAAGAACGTCCATTCAGTGTATCTGGATTAAATCAGTCTGACACACTGTACATGGAATTAACTGATGATTTGATCGACTCACCGTCTACATGCTTTAATGACAATGAAAGTGTACAAAAAGCCGCATTGATTATATCATCTGAAGAAGATGAGGAAAAGCAAAGAGAAGAGTTGTGTAAATTACCATCAGCGTCATCTCTGAGATCATCATCGTCACTATCCTCGTCATCATCATCATCATCACCCTCATCATCTGTTCTTTCCTACAATAACACTACTACTTCCTTGGAAAAATATACAACTAAAAGAACTTGTAAAGCATCCATTCCTAATAAAACGATAAGGGCTAATAATTTAACATCGTTTAAAACTAAGGTTGAGACAGAAGTAAAAACTACAACAACAGAGCAAGCAGTAAACTATATATCAACTGGATATTATGGCGATATCAATGATAAAAATATTCAGAATTTGCTCGGAGGTAAAGAAGGTGAGGAATTTAGCAAAGCTTCTTATACTGTTGAAGATGGTATTAATAATAATAATAATCTTACATCTGGAATTAATAGTTACACCTCTACTGATTTCAGTAGTGAGATACAAAAACTAGACATGAAAATACCTAAAGAAGAATATCTGTGTGAAAATCTCAAAATCTCCGTCAATGTTGATCATAATGATACAGAAATGATTGATAATCCAAGTGGTATTGAAAACACTGAACTCAGTGATGTGTCACTATCTGGAGAAAGTAAGTAAAGCAAACAAAATTGGTGTTATTTTCCACTAGTTATTCGTTAATTTAAATTGGAAAGAACTTTGAGAATAATTCATGACGCGGGAGATAAGCACATGGCAGTCAATATTGTAAATTACATAGGTCATTTGTGGGCGATTTTATGGCATATATCAATTTTTTAATTGGCGTCACCTGCTTTACTTTGTGTATATTAGCACGTTTCAGCAAATAAGCCAAATATTCTAGCATGATTTCATGAAAATCCAGAAGTATACGTTTAACCTTCAAGCTTATTGCACCCTTGAATCCACTATATTATGCAGATATCAGTATCAGGCAACATTTTCTGATAAAATTGTAGCAAATGCGACGCAAGTCAAGGATATAATACCACCGATAATACGTACGTCAGAAAAGAATTTTGAATGCAAAATTTGATTTTAAAAGCATATGAAACACATAAAAATGTAACTTGTCATCAGAACACTGTGTCGACGGACTACTACGCTATAATTACCGGGAATATGCAATAATGCCATTCTTCACCTGTATTTAGTAACATCAAATCTCACTCAGTTGTCTGCGACTTCTGCTGGTTACTGAGTAGACTGAACTTTTAATAAAAGCCTTAAGAGGCTTTCCATGTACTTCTCCACGTGTTCGTAAGACACAGCATACATTGTAAGCTCCGAATTCTTTAGCTTTATAAAAAATGATTTCATCGATTATGTAGAAATAAAATGACTACTTTCCAAACTAAGAGGCATAAATTGGTGGATGGTAACCAACAGTGGAATCCAGGATGCGCATTTTGTCCTATTTGGGACTCGTCACTGGATGTACATGCATTCCGCAGTGACTGATGGTGTTCCCACCGAGGCTCGAACCTAGTGCCCATAGTTTCGAACGCCGACGCTTTGTCCACTGGAACACTTGTGCCACGAGAGCTACCTCTTGTGCTATGGATCTTATTAATTATTCAATTCAATTTAGATTTTCCTGTCGATTGACTGGACCGAGCACTGCGGTCCAGTTAAATTAAACAAGAGGCACACAGTTTTACTGATAGGATTCCTGTTCTAGTGCACTACATGATTTCATCTCTGTTACTAGTTGCGAAAGAGAACTTTGGAAACACTAGAAGTTACGTCTTTCTCTTAAAGGTTCACTGTCGCAGTCACCGTTGGGATCGCACACATATAAGGTTTGATGGTATTATTTATCTGTCTGTCCAGATGAAATGCATGTTTCTAGCTAGAAATCTTGACTAAAAGCATAGCAGAACAGTATGACATTTCATCATTAAAGGCCATGAGGCTTATTATTCAACTTCTCTGGAATAAAGAGAGGCATAAAATATCGAAAATGCCTTTACTCAAGGTTCGTTAATCCATATTTCATGAATTCTTTCATCTCAGTGTCAAAATGGTTTTCCATCTCTCGTGGATAATATTCGGATTCAGTGGACAACTTGATGACAAGTACTACTCCATGAGATACTCCTATTATCACTACTTCAGCTACTTCTGCACTTCCTTGCGTGGAAAATGACAAATAGTTTGCAGTTACCCTTCCTTCTTTTATCGTCATGTTAGTATTTTCTTCTAAGAACCGAGTCATCCTCAATTCTTGAACGAATTCCTACTCGTTCCTGCTCGGCTACAACTAGAAATAACTATCACGACTGTTGTGCGGCCATCCAGTCTGTTAGACCTGCGCCTTGGTTCACTAACTGAAAACTCTCTGACCTGTCCAAGCTAACATGGTGGCCAGACTGCTCATAAAACTGTTGTAACTAGTGTAGGGGTAATATAATATTCCCTGCCGTTCAGTGGTGCATTTATTAACTACAGTACGAGGAGGATGTAATGCATAATCCCTCCACAACACAACAGCAGCGCACATGTCTCACTGAAAATCCGTTAGCTCACATCGTGATTCAGTCACGGCAAACTTATCTTTGATGGCGAAATAGCCGAGGGTCAACTGAATTAACGAATTTCCCTAATGCCCTACATTCTTTCCTCAAGCGATAGTTTTCCAGTACGGTTTTATGAATTTTCTACACTATACGGGTGGATAAATCTGTGATATGTTTCAACAACATGAACTCCTACTCTCAATTTCTATACCCTACATCTTCACAGCTGATATTTCCTCACAAGATGGCTACTTGCTGTTGTATGTCCTCCACTTCTGTCTCTAGAATATCCACATTTCACTATTAAACTGTCATTCCGCCAAACTCACAATATTTCACTGGTTCGTATCCCATGTTTCCTAGCCTCAGTGGATAGCCTTTAAAAGCTTCTAACGCCGGTTCACTAACTCTCTTTAACCCTTTTCTCTGAACCTCTTCGCAGCACGAAATCACTAGACGCAAAAAATTTAAGGGATTTTTGTCAGATTAATAAGCGAAGACTCCCGAAATTATCATAAACAAAGGTTGTTTGGTCAAATAGCCATATTTGATAGTTTTAAAATATAAGAACCGAGATATACAATCCAATTCTGCAAACATTACCTGTGTCCTGTGTTTATTTTATTTACCACTGATTCTAGTTCTCGTTCTCCTAGTCTGTTATTTCGCCACATTAGCCTTCCCTTTCAAAGAACCCTTGTTGTTTGACTGTCACCGCTTCTCAAGGGTTGAGGCTACGTAGTTCTGCGTACAACTCTTTGAGGTGAGTTCTGAGAAAACTGACAGACTTATCTACCCGAGATCTTCTTGCTTAGATGACTAGTGATATACAAACTTCCAAGTAATTACAGATGATTTAAAGGGGGGCGTTGTTTGGGTTAGGAGAAAAGTAATCACAAAGTGTTTTCAGGTATAGTATAGAGAATTCCACAGTAGATACTGAAGCTGTGTAAAGAAATAATAAAGTGCTTTTTGAACGGCCAGCACTGTAGCTGTATTGATTTACTCCCTGTGTATTCTATTCTTATCACCTAAGTTTGTGTTTAACAGGAGAGTCAATTAGGAAGTCACTGTTTCATTAGTGATAATACCGCCATCACTAAATACTCCTTCCAATACCGTCTTTTCTTAAGCTTAAATATCGTGATATCCCCACCAAGGCTGAGGTTCAGCTATTCTGCATTTAAAAACTAGCCCTCAATTGTGCCATCAGCGATTTCAATTACTGTAACTCTCAACCCGAAAAATATAGAACTTGCTGCGTGAAAAAAACCTAAGGGTTTCTTCGGAAGCAACTGAAGAGCAGTGTACAGATGTAAGTACTCAGGAAAGGAGTAAGATCACACAGAATACATAGCCTAGGGAAATCATTACAGTACTAAACTTCAAGAGGATAGAAGAACATTGTCTGCTAACCTAAACAGGAAATATAAAACCCACTGCAAGAATCTGTACTGCCCCCTGGTTTGGATGAAAAGTATCAGTCAAAAGGTTTGTGTGGTTCTGGACCATATAGGTGAACTTACCGATAATTCACAAACAGCTGAAGCCATTCTGAAAACAACTGAATATCGAGAGTGCCGGTGAGACAACTGCCTTGTTGCAAATGACGCTGGTGTCTTCCACTGTAGCTATTGTTCCGCTGAAAATAATCCCTGGCATTATTCCTTGGTGGTTAACATTGTTCTATTCAGAAAAATACACACAACCAGTGGTTTCAAAGCAATTTTCTAAACCTCTGTGCGCTCCACTGGATAAGCTGTTTGGGTACCTATTGGAAATAAGGCTGCAGATTATCCTGCCACCTGTTTTTAAAAGGATGATGGACAATTGCATCTCTGCCACCAAGAATATCAAAAGTGATCGTAAGCCTGCTGAATGATAACACCAAGGAAGATTTGTACCAGAGGAACTTCCTGCACGAGACTCAGCGTGTTTTCATAAAGAAGGACCACCACCCTACTTTCTTAATTGCAGCTTGGACAGGATACTTATATCAGAATATTACAGTCTAGATTTTTAAAGTCCTTTAACTCACTGTCTCGGGTAATCTTACATTGGGAAGTCTCCGAAATAGGAATCAACACGGAAGTCCTCGTTTAATTGTTAGACGCAATTAAGGTATCATACGAATTTCGATAGTGAATGTCGTGAGCAACAATAGAGTGTGCCAAAACCTGTGAAAAGCACGTCTTAAGATGTGAAGTTGCAAACTATGTTTTCTGGTAACAATACTAACAATGGTAGGGTACTCACATAAAATTAAAGCATTTATCCGATTAAAACACCTTTTTTACATGAACTGGAACAACATAACCAACATGGCTAACGAGCGCGCTTCGAATACGATGTGCATTTTCCTCTCTAATAGGAAATATCCACTTTTGTGAATAATTCGTTTGGGAAAACTGATCTTCCTATCCAACGAATTGTATTCATCCATTTCTTCTTCACCGAGCCTGTGTGTGGTACTTCCCGTTGTCTCGAACTACTGCCTAAGCTTCAGGTGCTACTTCTGTAGCAACACCCCCTCACTCTTTCAAATATACAGGACTTGTTGGTCTGTTACGTGATTGTTGTGAAGCTTAATAACCCGAAAGTTACAGATAAAGTCAAAAGCTTTTACTTATATAATTTATCTTTCTGTTCTGTGCTTTCTATTGTCTTTTGCTGTCAGTCTATTGGACAAAACAACTTCACTGTCTCTAATTATTTAATCATCGGTATTAATTTAGGAGTAATATGACTATAGATTCACACCCTCAGATAAGAAATGAGACACCATACACCGTAGTCACCAGGGCTTCAGCCAAATTAGGCAAACAGGTGAAGGTGATAGACTCTCGCATACCGGTCTTGAAGACCAGGGTAAATATTCCCTGCGCGAACAGATTGCCCATGTCGCCACAGTCCTACAGTGAAACTGGGCAAAATCAACCAAGCGGATGTGGCTCCATCCCTGTTAACACGACTAGGTTAATAGAGCCGAGTGGTAAATCTGCACTAAGCGAGAATTGAATAACACCCATCCCCATAGTAGGCCTTGAAACAAACAGGAAGGCCAATAAGAAACGTTCACGACGTTGCAAGACGACGAAA